AAGACATTAGACTTTAGAATAAAATCCTTTAATTAAAAAAAAGTATTTTATTTAATCCCCCCCCCAAAAAAATGGATCCACTGATGTAATCCAGAGTCGATCATGACGTCTAGCATTGTCCATGAAGACAACGACATGGCAAAATAAAAAAAATAATGTAAAAAAAAGGACGCACGCCGACCTGACCGCATGCGATGAACTCCCGCCACATAATGCAGAGTCTGACAGATGCTGGCAAAATATAAACAATTGGGCAAAGCTAGCGGTGACAACTGTTTACTATTGGCCAGCACCTACCAGAGTCTTCTATCCTGGGCAAAACAAAAATAACTGGGCACAGTTGTAGTTGTTTAATGACAGATCAGCATACCCAGGTCATTTGGAGATGCGCTTATCTGTCATTACAACTGGGCAGAGCGGGCCGTGAGATCCCGACTGGCTCCTCCCAGCTGTCATTTGAGTGGAGAACGGTCGGCCCTTTGACCGACCTTTCTCCACGCTTCAGGTGTCACTAGGGCTCAGCCAAGCCGAAGCCTATGAATTTGGCTCAGCGGAGCCGCTCGGCTGCTGTTCAGGCTATGGTGAATAGCCCTTACAGCAGCCCTTCGGTTCGACTAAACCGAACGGCTCAGGCGGCCGAAGCTATGCCTGGATCCTTTGCCTCATCTGTGAATAACCCTCTAAACGTGTATGTCCAGCTTTATTTATACTTTATGTTATAATTATTGCACAGCTTTGTTAATTTGTATATTATATCTACCCCAGAGTTCACCTTTACAGGTAATATAAAAAATGGTTGGATAAACCCACAAGGGCTTTTTCACCACTATTTCTCTTTAATGCTGGCTTTTTAAAGTAACAAATACAATAATATACATGTTTGATGAAAGGTTTGGTGTAGAATAAGACTTTTGGTCGTTTTTGTGCATTTTTATAGAGGTCTATACATCAAACAAAAAAGAGGGGCAATTAAAGAGAAAGGAGGGACAGAGGGATTAGGCTCTATGAGGGACAGTGATAATGTGTTGAGCCTCTATGCATATCAATTAATAAAAGTTAAATGATCACTTTTAGAGAAAACGATAGAGTAGCTATCAATGTTGGGCCATAGACAAAGACCGTAGTGACGTTTAAGGCAAAACAGGAATCAACTTGATAAATAGGTAGTTTAAATAGATTCTGGCATACATTTATCCATTTAGATACTTCTGTTTCATTCATGCATATAGTTAATCATTTATCTGCGATCCGGAAACAATTCTAAAGGAAAGGTTCAATGGACAGTTTAAGAGCTGTTAAACGTATGGATTACAAGAAAAACAGAGTGCGCTATGTAATCTAACAATATCATGCTTCTAATAAAGAATAGATTACTCCACAAAATTGAAGCATAAGGATAAGCACCATGTGGGAATATTATCTCCTGATTCAGATGTTATTTGGGAATATAAAAGCCCCTGTTTTTCTTATAGCTCTCTGTTTTGAAGAACAATGATCCAAGTATAGAAAGCAGCTACTGTATGTTTGCTCATTTCTTATACTACAAATGTATGTTATTTGTTGTTCCTGCTGTTTACTGCTCTGCTGCCAATTACATTTGGAAATCCAATGCCCTATAGATGGCAGTCTTTACACATCCATGGTGCTAAATGTAACTCTAAAGCTCTGCTTTCCTGTTCTCCTGTTGTAGTCAAAATATGTTTATTTTCTTTTTTTGTGTAATTGTTATTTTCTAATAAAAAGGGGGCCTATTGTAATAAAATTACTTCCTTTAATTACACAAATGTGGTCTGATGTTTCTATTTTTGTTCTTAATCTATTTTATAAAATTTGAATGCACAGAATATAAACATATTAAAAATTAGATTGGTTAAAAAAATATCAAGAAAAAAAAATCAAATCAAACAACTGAACCTAAAAAAAATGGGAAAAAACTATCAGGGTTATTAACAAAAGGGTGAAGAGTTTGGAGAAGGCAGGAGAAGTGAACAATCTCGGGCAACATAGCTGAACTGGAAAGTGAGCTGAATTGGAGATTTTTCCAAATCAGCTATGTTGTCCTAGATTGTTCATTTCTCCTGCCTCCTCCAAACTCTTCACCCTTTTGTGAATAACCCTGTATGTCTCTCAGGCAGTTCCTGATTCCATTAAGAAGAAAATTACACCAAGTGATGCCAAATATTAGGGAACATTTCAGCCTAAAAAGAGCTGAGAAAATCTTCACACACTGGAAGCATGTACAAAAAAAAAAAGCTGCTGCCAGATTATTTAATTGGTGAAAAAATATGGAAAACGATGCACATGAATTGCCCAAAACTGCTTAAAGTGACTGTCATTAGGATAACTAACTTCATCAACAGTACAGTCACCCTGTAAACGTAGAGGATCCATATTGAATTTTCCAGTGGTAGAACCAAAAAGGAAACTGCAGGAAAGGTGTGTGTTAAAATGTTTCCACTAGGCTGATCCCCAGCTGATGTACTCTTAAATAAGTCCAATACTTGCTCCCCTCACTATCCACTTGGGTTCCTCCTACCAGCTCCCACCTCACTAGAGGAACCACAAGTTGGTGGGAAGAAACACAGCACATAGTGGGGGGGAGCAGGTGTTCAAAACACTTGCAGCAGCGAGGAATGAGCAAGTTATAACACATGGACCCTTAGAAAGGTAAGTATTTGTCCCCCTCTTTTACAAAGTTGCTTTAGATAAAGTTTGTGATCCTAATGATAGAGTGACTTTAAAATTGCAAAATTGATTTTGTATGAACACAATAACAATCTATATATTGTAACCTTTCATAAATATGCCTCTATTCATAAATAAAGTATTAGTCAATTTCCACATATGCACAGAAGCATTCATTAATTAATGTTATGTATTAATTAATAATAGATTAAGGGAATAAACACAGACAGGCCTTTTCATGATTTTCAGGCTTTGGAAATCAGTTAATTAGTATTAAGTAATTCATTAACATGTACAAATTTCAAGCAATGTTCTGCTGTTACTTAGAGCAACCCACCTAATAACCTTCAATTGTAGTTTAGAGTGCTAAGACAAATAACACTGATGAGAAGGTGGTTGCTATTAGCAGTGGATATAGTTTATTTTTGTACTACTTTATGTTATCAAGCAGAACTTAATTGATAGAGGTTCTACGTTTCATGATTTTAAAGCATATGTCCACCCACAAGTTCTATTTTAGTTTTTGGTGGGTATTGTTGGGATGAATCACCAGATTCTTGGAGGTTTACCCACAATAATTTTAATATGTAAAGGTATCACTTTATTATAGCTGGACTTCTAGAAGATATCTGTCTTCAATATTAAGGAAAGACACCCTCATTTGGCCTGGCATTGTCCACAGCAGGTGGGGAGAACTGAGAATTCTGGTGGGGATGCCATTCCACTGGAGTTTCTGTGAGATATAAAATACCGGAAAGTTATTCAACTTGTCGGCTTGTTTTGGGTTGAGTTACGGGATTAAAAAAAAACCCCCACAAATTTGGGATACCGGCCCTAATATTGTGTTTTTTGATACTAAATAAAAGAAAATAAAAAATATGTAAAATGAGTTAGACATATAGAGTTGTGTAATAACAGGCATATTAGTGGGGCAAAATGCAATGAACAATACAGTATCCTAAAACAGCCAATCAGAATGTATATAGATTTTTGCACATCAATGGTATTTTTTAACAATTTCATATTAAATAAAATGAAATTGTTAATGAATACTAGGTTTGTACATACGTGCAATGGTGTTAATACTTTATGAAATTGTATATAGTTTTACCATATACAGTATGCAGTTTTTCTGATCAGTATAGACATTAAGAAGTCATTTTCCAGTCCTTTAAACACAATTAAAGCAGACCAGTCAGTAAGATTAAGGATTGCAAAGAAGCATTTAATTCTTGCTTAGAATGACTGACATGGTTGAGGAAGAGAGTGTGTTGTGCAGGTTATTAATCATAAGCTTTGGCTCCTGTTCTTCCGCTAGGGAGGGGGGGGGTCTGCTTTGTATAATGCCCCTGCTTCACTACCATAATATCTGATGTGAAAAAAAGAAAACTAGTGTAGCCTCAGACAATTCCAGACTCCTTGTCATGTCCCCATAATTCACTGTCTTATATTGGTAATGTGATCAGCAGGAGATTAATTTAGTCCTTCTCTCTGTACATTTCCTTTTCCTCAACCAGCACAGTGCTTATTGAACAACCTCACGCAAGCAATATCAAAGCAGAAGCACATAGTCATTTCTGAGTTTACATGGAGAGAGGTGAAGAGAAGAGACAGGAGTCTGCTGTATGAGTATCTCAAACAGCAACCTGGCATACTAGTTCAAATCACAATGCCTTATCTGATGAAAGGTAATGCAATGGCAAATAATGAACATTTGTGTCTGACCTTTTTTTTGTACATAATAAACTGTAAACAAATTAATTCCTTCACCATACTTGAGTTAAGAGGCTTACGAATATGTAATTATAATGAGCTGACAAAACCATTGCCTGCTTTAGCTTTACCCTTTCTCAGTTATAAGTCACTTAACCTGAATTTCTCACTTTTATCATTTCTTTCAGTAAACCCTTCACTTACACTTCTTTCTTGTGAACGCTTCATTTCTCCTTCCAAATATCACTCCTTTACACCTCACTGCCTCATAATAATTCCCCTCCTATCACTTAACACTTTCACCGTCACCCCCTAGCCTACCGGCTCTATCAACTTTAGATCACTTAACCCCGCCATGCCCTTATTGTACTTCTATCATCTACTTTATTCACTTCTGGCTTCTCATTCTTCAACTCTCCATATGTCTAATATTGGTAATAACAACTGTGAATGAATTGGAGAGGTATGAGAAGGTAACAGTGGTGGGTCTGAGGTTTAAGGTTCCTCAGAGTGTAAGGTGTAGTAGTACCTGAAATGTTTTGAGATGGAGAAGGAGGGCAGGCATGCTGATGGCCAAGGGAGGGGGGCATCAATCTGCTTACCTGACAATGACATACATGACCAGAACGTTGCCAAAGAGCCCAACCACACAGATCATGGAGTAGAGAGCAGCAATGATGATTGCTACGATGATAGAGTTGTCCTCAGGGGGAATGTCTCGTCCATTGCAAAGAAAGGACTGGTTCTCATCCAGCCTGGTCATGTTCCCCAAGACACCAAATGGACATGGTATGGCAGACAAGGTGGCATTAACACCTAGAGCTCCTGTGGTAGTGTTAAGCAGAATGTCAGCAGGTGGCAAGGAGCTGTTCAAGGTAATGTCCATTTTGACAGTAGCAAGTGATACTTTAGAGGTAAGACAGGCTAGGATATGACTGCTGTAGTATCCACAGTCCCTTCAGTCTCCCTCACATCTTCCTCCTCCTCTTTTGCTACTTCCCCCTTCTCCTCTCCCCCTCCTCTTTACAGTCACAGAGAGAAACCTTTCAGCCTGCAAGTAACTAGGCAATGACAGAGAAGAGGAAACAAGCCAATGCTCTAGCTGCAGCTTTGATGCTGAATAGAGTGGTCTCTATAGCTGTATTCAGTGTCCATGTGTTGACATATACACTAGCTGCTACCTGCTGCATCTATACGGCTCCTCTCTGCACTCAATATTCCCGAGCATCTTTCACATGCATTGCCAACTAGTATACACAGCATCCCCTTAGTAAGGCTCGTTCTCACTTTTTTTTATGCTCAGTGACAAAAACAAATCAATGATGACCCTGAAACCATGGACTTCACAGAATATCATATAGTATCAGTGTTTTCAGTGACCCTGAGAGATGTGAATACTATCCTGACTCTGAATATCTGAGCAACAGATATTACATACCTCAATCCTCTAGTCATGTTAGCTTAACAGCTGCCAGGATGGAAGTAGCTTCTGATCAATAAACCTTGTGGAAGCCCATGTAATGCAGAGATAAGGTTGTCAGCTCCCACCATGTACACAGTGTTTCATTTACCTTGGCTGTCATGACTGAGGTAGAAAGCTGAAAGGGACTCAGTGAAACAAGCATTCATTCCCACTGCACACATTATAGGCATCAAGTGGAAAGCATAGCTTTTCCGCACCGTTACTTCCCCACAGTGCCACATTCCTACTGACTACTGAAAGAAGTAGAACATGTCTAGCTGCTTTATCACAAATGTGCACTTAAAATCTGTTTCATTTACCAAAAAAAAGTTATAATGGTTATAGTTATAATATAACAGAAGATGTTTTCCCAATATTAAACACTTGCATATGTGCCCATTCATTGAACTGTGTTAAATGAAATCTATACCGAAAGACAAATGGGGGCAGCCATTGCTGACCTAATAGCTCCCTGCTGATGCTAATTCCCTGGATATTACATTGACTCAGTGAATTCAGTAATGTTTGGGTCAATGACTTGGGGCAATTATGCATATCACAAAGGTCAGATGTCCTTATTTGCTTTCCTATTAAAGCTAAACTGACACAAAGTATTGGAAGAGTATAAACATGACAGCCATAAAACTAGTATTTGCAGAGTAAGAAGAAGAAATTACAGCCTTTATGCTTCTCTCAGGAAAGGTTTCCTTTAAAGAAATTATTCTCTGTGTCCCTCTCCGCTTCCACAGATGCATACTTACTGAGATCGTGTGCCTGGGGACTCCCACATTTGTTTACATTCAGCACCCAACACCTCGCACTGCTGGATGTGCCTGCACAGTAGAAGTCTATGAGGGTCTTTTCCCTGTGTCTCCTGACAGGAAGATGAGGGTAGATGAGCCGCAGTTAGGTGTAAACCGTAAATGTACAACATTGCCTGTCATAAACAATACCATTTTTTATAAAATGAAATATGGTTTGTAACTTTTTACCTCCTTTATTCAATTTCTGCTGTTTTCCTACATCCTCTTTGCAGCCACTACATACTGTACATGCTCACCATGAAGGCTACATGGTATTTCTCAGGGCAGGTTTCCTGAACTGCGGGTCATGCCTCAGGAATGCATTTTAATACAGCACTTCTAGTCTCCATTAGAAGCCTGCGTGACAAGGTAACAGCTCAGGAGGATAGTTGGGAAATAGGTACAGAGCTTTTTCACCCTATAACAGGAACTGAATAAGATAGATATACAGTATATATATTTGCCCTTTGCTGCTCCCTCTGCTCGGTTACAGGTGAACAACACTCTCTCCCCCTCTTTCCCAATGCAAAAGGACGCATTGGTCAGGGGTGTCCCTGTTCACCCCTGCTTTTTGCCTTAGGTATTGAACCTCTGGCCTCCTTGGTTCGTACTTCTTCTGCTATTAGGGGGTTTATCAGAGGAAGCCTTGAGGACAAAATTGCTCTATATTGCTCTATATGCTGATGACACACTCCTATTCCTGGCGGGCACCCAGACCTCTCTTACTTCAGCCATGTCCTTGCTCTCTGTTGGAACCCACAAAAAATATCTAGAAGGATTAGTTCTTTATTTAGGGATCCTATTTGTAGAGGTAGGCCACCCAGCCTCAGGTTAAAGTCCCTTCAATATCTTAAGGAACGGGGAGGATTGTCTCTTCCAAACCCCTGGCTCTATTATTTAACTTAGCAACTTCAACATCTAATGCAGGGGTAGCCTAACTCCGGCCCTCCAGCTGTGGTGGAACTACAAGTCCCATGAAGCATTTCAAGATTCTCACAGCCACAGACATGACTTCCGGAGAGAGATGCATCAAGGGATTTTTAGTTTCACCACAGCTGGAGGGCCGGAGTTTGGTGAAACCTTATCTAACGGGTTGGTCCCGGTTACATGATCTCCCCGTCAACACTCAATTTTTTCACATATGTTTGGAAGGCAGGCTCCTCTAACATTATTGGAAACCACATTATTAACCCACTCCACTTTCCCTACACCTAAAATGATTGCCAAGGTCTGGGTGGCATTATGTATTTGCTTGGTCTCTCAGATTATACCACCATTACCCCACTCTGGAACAATTGGAAATTGCCTGAAGTACATAAATTACATGGATTTATTCATTGGCAGAGGGCAGGGATTCAGACACTGCCACAAGTTTATGACTCTGGTACCCTTTGCTGCTTCCAACAGCTCCAATCTAAATTTCTCCTGCATAAGACACAATTTTATCAATGTTTTCAATCACGCCATGCCCTGTCTGCTCCCCCTGGGGTTGGTGGTGTAACTATATCTGATGTTAAGCTTTTGAACAAAGTATTTTCCTCCCCACATACAAAGGGTTTTATCTCACTTTTTGGAAAAATACTCTCTTAGATGTAGGTCTGACTGGGAGGATGACATAGGGCAGATAACAGAGGAAGAATGGGAGGCAACCCTGTGTTCTGTTGGTATGTCCTATCTGTCTTCCTCTCATAGGCTGGCTCAGCTTTTAATTTTACATAGAACTTATCATACCCCGGAGTTCTTACATAAAATTGGAGTGAGAACAGACTCTTAATGCCTTAAGTGTGGCATTGAGCCTGGCTCTCTTATACAACTTCTGTGGTGTTGTCCTAAGCTGGTGAGATACTGGATCAGTATTGTGAATACTATTTGTTCTATATTTATGGTCCAGCTCCCCTGTTCCCCATTGGCTTGTCTCCTTGGGGCATTTGACTCTTCTTCATGGGACGAACTTACCATTATCGCTCTATCTAGGGCCCTTTTTGGAGCACGAAAGGTTATTGCTCTCAGGTGGATGTCCTCTACAGTTCCATTGGTCGTAGCCTGGACGCAGCAGTTGGACCAACTTTTAACATTGGAAAAAAATTACTTATCAGCATAGGGGCAATGTTTCTAAATTCTATCCCATTTGGGAAAGATGGATGAACCGGCTAACTTCTTCTCTAACTACAACCTAAGTCCACTCCTGACATTCTCTGCTACCCCTAATTTTAATTGGCGATACTGATTGTAAAACTTGTATAGCCCTCTTTATAGTTTAATGACTTACCTTGATGAGACACATGTTCAGGGTATGTCACATGCCATGATTAGGGGCATTGTAACACTCTGTCAAAGGTAATATGGGATGATCTATTACTTTAACTGATTTGTGTGGGGGTTTTTTTGCTCTTCTTTTCTTCTTGTTGATGTTTTATGTCACTGTATTCTTGTTGACTCCTTATGTTGATGAGCCTTGTGTTTTTTTTATATGTAAAATTGGAAAATCTTCAATAAAAAAAATTGATTTGAAAAACAAATGGGACCTAGGTCTCCCAGCCCCCTTATTAATTTTGCTGTACTTCTCTGCACTCTCTCAAGTTTAAATTGAATCACATACTCAAGATGAGGCCAGCCAGTGTTAAGTAGAGTGGCAGAATTATGGATTTGCCTCTAGATAAAAATACCGTTTTGTATGCATGATAATAGTCTGCTAGCTTTGTTAGCTACAGTCTGGCATTGCATGCTATTGCTAAGTCTGTGGTCTACTAGAGCTCCAAAATCTTTTTCCAACAGAGGAGCTTGCTTGCATATTTTCAGCACCCAATTGCATAACATTTAAATAAGTCAGTAAAAGATGTATATACAAATCTACAAAAAAAAATGCCAAAACAATAAAGTCCATACTGCTTCTGCAGTCCTGTCTAATATAACACTGTGGTCTAAATCCTCCAAGTGCCATAGATATTGTACTTTGCTACAGTTTATCTCTAACATTCTCACATAATTCATTCCCACAGCTACCTCATGTATCATTTCCCCCCTCCTCTTTTAGATTGTAAGCCCTCTGGGGCAGTGCCCTCCTTACCATCTTGTCTTGAATTGTATTGTAACTGTAATGTCTTCCTTATATTGTAAAGCGCTTCGCAAACTGTTGGCGCTATATAAATACTATGTAGTAATAATAATAATAATAATTGTGCTCACTTCACACCACTGTTTGTGATTCACTTCTTTCCTTTATGTTTGGACCTCATTTGCAAATAAGGTCAAATAACACTCTTCCCATAAGGGATGAAATAGACCAGATAACTGTTCCAAATTTGCTAGTTGATCATTAGTTGATCATTATTGCTAATAGGAGGTAAACATACAAGAATTCCTTAGTGATTTCTGTATATTAGAATCATTTAAATAATATGTATTATTATTATTATTATTATTATTATACAGGATTTATATAGCGCCAACGGTTTGTGCAGCGCTTTACAATGAAAGGAAGACATTACAATCACAATACAATTCAAGACAAGATGGTAAGGAGGGCCCTGCCCGTGACGGCTTACAATCTAATAGGGAGGGAGAAGTGATAAATAAGGAGGTAGCTGTGTGGGGATAAATTGTTTGAGAACGTGATGGTTCAGTAGTTAGCTCGAGGTGGGATAGGCTTCCTTAGAGAGATGAGTCTTTAGT